GTCAACTGAAGTACAATTAAAAAAAAAATTTATACACATATTGTTGTGTGGCATAATTGCAATCCCCACAATGCGACAGCATGCTCCCCCTTTCTACCCTGGGTTCCTTGTGTCCATCTGTATAGTTCCTGTCCCTTCCTCCCTTCTCATCCTGCTTTTGGATAGGAGCTGCCCATTCGGTCTGGTATATTTGATTGAACTAAGAAGCACATTCCTCACATGTATTGTTTTTTGTTTTATAGTCCTGTCTAATCTTTGTCTGAAAGGTGGGCTTCAAGAATGGTTTCAGTTCTGAGTTAACAGAGCGTCCTGGGGCCATAGTTTCAGGGGCTCCTCCAGTCTCTGTCAGACCATTAAGTCTGGTCTTTTTTACGTGAATCTGAATTCTGTTCTACATTTTTATAACACTTTTAATTATCTCTCCTACTACTGAGTCCTTAAGGGTAGATTAGCTTTGCACTTTATAAATATTTGGTGAATAGGCTTAAATGTCAAGGAAATTCCATTTTCAAATATTATATAAAAAACAGAGGTGAAAAAAGTTCGTAGGACTGCAACTGGTCCATCCAACAGGGACCATTAGTTTGACCCAATAAGCACCTACTAAAGTCTTGAAGGATACACATTATTCTAATCATGTGGACCTCAGCAGCACCAATAGCTTTCCTGGTCAACATAAAAAGGCAACCATTACTACAATCCTAAATCCCTAACCTAGAGCACAGACTATGAAGCCCAGCTGTAAAGAGTTTAGGATAAAATGATCAAGCATCTGCTAGATTTAAAGCCCACAAGAATGACTGGCTACACACAATGATCAAGAAAGCTTAGAATATGAGCAGGTGAGCATTTTTCTGGAAAAAAGGATCCATAGCTTCATAGCTTCATCAGTTCTCAGAGGACCCCATGACTTCAAAACTGTTAAGATTCACTAATTTATATAGACAAAGTAGGCATCGCAAAGGGTATGGTAGTAGTTTTAGGGGGGAAAAAATTTAAACTGAACAAGTATAGTCTAAAAATATTTATGAGGTTATATTTTATTTATTTTACATCTCCCGCTAAATACACATGAAATTACTTAAAATACCAAAGCCATGGAGGAAAGGCTCCCCTGAATCACTGTGCCATAGAAAAAGTAAAGAGCCATGGCAGATTTAAAAGCTGCACCTCTGACAGCTGAGATCAAAGAAGTAAAAAGCCAAGGTATTCAGTAACCTATTATCCACCATCTAATGTATGGGAATAGGTTAAATCTATGAGAAAGGGAGTAAAAAAGAAATAAAGGCAAGAAACAGAATTAGTATCCTAATTGAAAACTCTTAAAATCCTCACTGTTAGTGCACTTATCCAATAGGGACAGACTCCTAAAATACTTTCTTATGCCACTTTTTAGACCTAATTGAAAAGATGCAAAAGGTAAGGGTGTCAATAGTAAAGGAACTCAATTACATTCCACAAAGAGTTAAGTATTTACAGTCTAGATCTAGATATCATAAATATACACCACCTAAAACAAGCATTTGATTTTTATAGTATTATACATTTTTTTAAAAAATCATTCTTAAACCCCAGGAAAACAGCACCATGATGGTGCTCAACTACAATGAACCGTTGTTCCAAATACAGGAACTCCGAACCAAGACTGCACCTGTTCCTGCCATATGTATGTGAGACAAATAAGGGAAACCCACAAGTACAACCACAACTGACCAAGTGTGGTTCCATTCATCACGGGACTTCTAGTAAGGCATGCTTTCAGGAGCGAGGTTAAAAAGATGATGGCACTAAATAACGTACCAAGGAGACCACGTGCAATGGCATCAGCAGATAGCCTTTGTTTTTCTTTTAAATAAGACACTGAGAGATGAGTGTGTAAAGCACTGAGCAGGAAATGCTTCTAATTGAAGAAATGCAAAAAAAAAAAAAAGGAATGTCTTTTCCATGCATATACCTGGACTACCAATTACTGCTGGGGAAGGTCACATAGCTGGGCATACTGGTGCCACAATGCTCCGACAATCAAGTAAGCCCTCAACACTGCCTGGTAATCTTTTTGTATATTCCTAGTCAGTTCTCTCCCTGACTCGATAAAGAATTATTTCAAACTCTTTATAGCCTACTCTTTACTAAAAATTCACAACACCACCACATCAGCAGAAGACATCACATCCCATACATCCCATTTTGCAGACAAAACAAAAGCCATCAAATTAAGAACACGATTTCTTGCCATAAAACCTATAAACGTCCTTATATCTCCTCACTACAATGGTAGAGACGGTGCTCTCCTCTTACTTCCCCCAACCTGTGCTCTGGATCTCCTTCTTCCTGGCCTCTGCAGGGGTTTTACATCACTGACTATCCCCTCTCTCCTTGTATCTTCAACCTCTCCTCTACTGGCTCCTTCTCATAAACACTAAACATGCTATCATTTCTCCCATCTAAAATGAAAAATTCTCTCTCAAATCTGTAACACTCCTTCAGGTATCACTTTTTTAGGTATCACTACTTTAATTCCTCTTCACAGCTGAACCTTCCTGATAGAACTATGTCTACTGTTTCGCACTTCCTAACCTCCTAGTGGAGTTCCTGGGTGGAGCAAACATTTAAGCCCTTGGCTACTAACCAAAAGGTTGGTGGTTTAAATCTACCCACAGGCACCTTGGAAGAAAGGCCTGGCAATCTTTCCAAAAGATTATAGCCATTGAAAACCCTAAGGAGCACAGTTCTACTCTGAAACACATGGGGTTGCCACGAATCAGAGTCAACTCCACAGCAACTGGTTTAACCTCCTAGTTGCTTCTTAACCCATTACCTTCTGGCTTCCTAGCCCATCACTGGCTCTCATCGGTCATTTTTACTAAATCCATAAAGGGCATATTCGCTGCTATTATGTTACCTTGCAGCTGCATTTAACACTACTGATCTTTCTTCCTCCTTCTCAAAACAATCCCTTACCGTTGTTTTCTGTGACGCTGCACTTTCCTGGTTTTCCTCCTATCTCTTTAGTTGTTCCTTCTGTCTCCTTTGTAGCCTCCTTTTCCTCTTCATACTTAAATGGTAGTGTTGCAAGGGTTCTGTACTAGGCCCACTTCTCTTCTCATTCATGTGCAATTCCATTTTCATGGCCTTCTCTTTTCTATCAGACCCAAATAACCAGCTGCCTGCTCAACACCTCCACTTGAATTTCATGTATCTCAATTTCAGTATGCCTAAAAAACTGGTCTCTTTATCTACTTTCCAGACTTAGTCAATCATCAGATCCTGCCAATTCTACTTTAAGATTAACGTCCCTTAAACCTGTCCACTTCTCTTCCTGCTCATTGCATATTCCCTAGTGCAAGTGGCCATTCTCTATCCCTTAACTGCCACAGCCTTCTAAGTGCTTCTAGGCTTATTCCTGCTCCACCCATTCTCTACAGAACCAGAGGGATACTGCTAGGATGTTAACTTACATTACTCTCCTGCTTAAAAACTTAACTGCACTGTATTGTCTTTATGATTAAATTCAAACTCCCAGTTTATCTAATCCAACTTATCCCTAATCACGCTATCAAGTTCCATTCAATTTCAAACATAGAGAAGTTCTACTCTTTCTACAGGCTATACTCTCCCTAACTTTCATCTCCAGGTCCTTGCACATGATATAATTTATCCAGAACAGTCTCCTTCTCTGCCTTTTCATGCCTCTCTGGCCAACTCTTATTCATAGTTAAGACTTTGTCTTAGATACCAGCTCCTCCTACAAGCCGTCCTTGACTCTTACACCAGATGAAGTGTATTTGGTATGTGCCTACACAGTACTGTAGATGTTGCCCATAAAACAGGTATTTCTTTTTTACTGCTTATTTGTTTTCCTCAATAAACTGCAATCATCAAGAGGGTAGGGATGTGTATTGGTTTTATTCACCGGTATGTCCCTAGTATCTGGCATAGTGCTTAGCATACAAGAACCTCAATAAGTATTTGTTGACAGAATGCAATAAATAATAAACTTTATTAAATTTAAATGGAAAAATATGCTGAAAACCTTATGAGTAAATAAAACTTGAAAAGACACTACCACCACCACATGGCAGAAATATAAACAAATACAAAGGTATGAAAGGTACATCTTTCCAGGCAAAAAAAAAAAACAAAATCCATTCAATTAGTTAAGTATCTGCTGAGCCCTGTCTCAGGCAACTGTTTTTCATGAATATGCTTTTCTATCTCAAGAGAATGAAGATAAACTTATTTCAGTACCTGCTCATTTGCAACCTGTTCACCTCTTGTTCTTGAGAGTTTGTTTTTACTTGGTGACAAGTTGTTACTTTTGAACAGGACTGGCTTATTACAGAAAATGCAGTTGAATTATTCACCGGAGTTGCTTCTCTCACTCCCCATGCCTCCAAGAGGAGAAGCAAGGGTTTAAAAAAGGAACTGGAATAGCATGCTAAATTGTGTAATTATCTAGTGCTCTGGGATTATGACAACTTGCTAGCCCACTTTGCAGAAAACCAATCTTGTAGCTAGCTCAACAATCGGATAACCAAGAAAAAGTGCCATCCTTACTTTGCCACTGTAAGATGAGAAGGGAATCGTATCAACAATTGGAAGATTGTACACACTGGTCTCTATTTCAGCATGACTCAGTAGTAATACCTTAAAAAGTCAAATAACACTAATGCTGATTTTGAGGTTTGTTTTTTTTTTAAGTGCTACTTTTCAGAAAATAATTTTAGAAAATAAGAAGGAATAAGAGGGAAGCATAAAATCATAAACAGATATGGTGCAGGCCTACTGGAATGCATCATCAATCTAGTAAAAACAGAATAAAACAAGATACTTACCACCACCAAGAATGTAAGAATCCTGGTGGTTCCCCCAATGTGATGTTTTTTTCCCATCTTATCTAAAATGAATAAAAGAGATATTAAACAGTTTTCTAGTAACACTTTTTTCCACACATATTAAAAGCAATATTTTCCAATTTAAAATAGTAAGGTAGTATATAAGTTTGTCATCACTATCATATTATTCTTTATTCACATTTTACAAGTACTCATTTTACATGTACTCATTTTACATAGTAATTTAAGGACAAGATTAGTCTATGAGAGAAGAAGCCTACCATTACTATCCTGAATTTGCTTCCCACTATGCCAGTAACTGGGGCCCTGGTGGCGAAGTGGCTAAGAGCTCGGCTGCTAACCCAAAGGCTGGAAGTTCAAATCTACCAGTCGCTCCCTGGAAACCCTATGGGATAGTTCTACTCTATCCTATAGGGTCACTATGAGTTGGAATCAACTTGATGGCAATGGGTTTGGGTTTTTTTGGTGCCAGTATTAAGCTACCGTCTTTTGGCTCCAAATCATCCTTCTTTGAGATGTCGAGACTCTGTACACTACATCTGTCCTTTGTCAGCTGGCTTCGTGTTGGTCCCATAACCTAAGAGAAGCACTAGAGGGAAAGTAGGAAAAGGGGAGAAGGAACTTCTTCCTTCCTGTTAGCTTGCTGTTCCTGCCAGGGTTGCCCCAGCAGCAGCTATTCACCTCAACAGTAACAGCTGGTTACAGTCTAGCTTTTTTCCATACTATCAAAACCTGCCTCTTCATGCCCCCTCAGAAGTACCAGCACAGTTGGGCAATATCCCTCCTCAGAGATAGGAAGCCCAGTTCCCCAAGGCCTCCATGAACTCTTGAGGTACCAGCACCAGCTAGGCAGCTCTCTCTCTTTAGAGGTCTAAGACCCAGTAGGTCTCTCCTCCAGTATTCTGATAACCACAACCTCTTCCTTTTGGTCCCCCAGCCCTAGCGACTGCTTCTTGCAATTAATAACTTTATATTACCTCAGTGTTCCATTTTTGCTTCTTTACCTGTTTAGCTATTTCACTACATTATATTCTCTCTGTTGAAATACTTAATGTGGTTTTAATTCATCATGTCTGAACCCTGATTGATACATAACCCTTACCCCCTCATAAGTTAAGAATATTAAAAATGTATTCTTTTTAAGCAGAATGAAGTATGGGCTTAAACTTTAGCTTCACTACTTACTAGCTGTGTGAGCTTGGGAAAGTTACTTAAGTCTTCTGTGCCTCAGTTTCCTCATCTATAAAATGGGGATAATAATAATTACCTACCTCATAGGGTTGTGGTGAAAAATAAACTGGTTAATACATGAAAAACATTTAAAAGAGTACCTGATATGTATTAAGTGCTTAATAACTGTTAGCTGCTATTATTTTTCCTTTACCTCGAACAGCATTCCTCTAAAAATTTATCCTACCAGCACTGTCACCAGCACCCACAAAATTCTATTGGTATTCCATGTAAAAACATTCAAGTGCTTAGGGATGTGCCAAACAATCAGAATAGGGAGCACTGGCGGCACAGTGGTTAAGAGCTTGGCTGCTAACCAAAAGGTCAGCTGTTCAAGCCCATCAGCCTCTCCTTGGGAAACCCTATGGGGCAGTTCTACTCTGTCCTATAGGGTCGCTATGAGTTGGAATCGACTCAGCGGCAACAGGTTGTTTTTTTTTTTAAGTCAGAATAGTGTAAAAGAGCCTGGTGGTGATGGTTAGGAGATGCACAATGGAGACAGAATTTTACAATAAAAATAAGTTTTTTACTGTTGTTGTTAGGTGCCATCAAGTCAGTTCTGACTTATAGTGACCCTGTGTACAACAAACACTGCCCTGTCCTGTGCTATTTTCCCAATTGTTGGTTGCTATGTTTGGGCCCATTGTTGCAGTCCCTGTGTCACTCATTCCCGTTGAGGGTCTTCCTCTTTTTCGCTGACCGTCTACTTTACCAAGCACAATGTCCTTCTCCAGGGACTGGTCCCTCCTAATAACGTTTCCAAAGTATATGAGATGAAGTCTCATCATCCTCACTTCTAAGAAACATTCGGGCTGTACTTCTCTCCAGGTAGATTTGTTCGTTCTTCTGCCAGTCCATGGTATATTCAATATTCTTCACCAACATCATAATAATAAGTTTAAGTGGTTAAAATTCTTGTATTTTATAAGATCCTGACAGTTCACAAAATGTTAAATGCCTAAAAACAAAAACAAAACCCATACCCACTGCCATCAAGTATAACTGCCCCATAGGGTTTCCAAGAAGTGACTGGTAGATTCTAACTGCCAACCTTTTGGTTAGCAGCTGAAACTTTTAACCACTGCACCACCAGGGCTCCAATACCTAAAGGAAATATAAATTCGGTATACATACTTTAAAAATCATTTGGTATAATTCTGTTAAATAATCATCAGATTTCAGTGACTAGGTTTTTTAAAGAATAATAATAAATCCTACACTTGTTAATGTATTCTGCAATTTTTTGCACTGCAGGGTAGTATATAAATTTGTAAGTTAAGATGGCTTAGAAATGCAACCAAGACAGGAGAACAGCAACTTATACATGTGACTAGGAAAAAAAGGAAACAGAGCTGGGACTAAGGAAGAATTTTCTACGATCCTGGTATAAATGGGAGAATCAAATAAAAATTAATCATTTAAACAGAAAATTAAGCTTCCACAATTACTTTCAATAATCATTTGGGATTTAGTGTTCTGTTTAACTGATAGTTATAATGTATACCAAATTCAGGCGAATAATTAAAAACATCCTAAAAAGAATTAAGTTTTTGAGGTTTTTGCTTCTTTTTTGTTTTGGTGAATCAAAAGGCACTTCAGGATCTCACCATTTATTAACATCAACACGAACATCTAAACGCTACTAACCCAGAAATCTGAAAGAGATTGGGCTTAATCTGTACAGGCTCTAAATTATAATTTAAGGATTAAGTTTTTTAATAAATTCCTGATTTAAGGGGGTGGGAGGGAGAAAATATACGTCTTTCATAAAATAAGAGTTAATAATGATGATGATTTTAATTTTCCAACAGTTTACATTTCAGATGAGTTGAAGTTCACTATGGACCCTGGTGGTACAGTGGCTAAGAGCTTGGCTGCTAATCAAAAAATTGGCAGTTCGAATACACCAGCAGCTCCTTGGAAACCCTACGGGGCAGTTCTACTCTGTCCTATACAGTCGCTATGAGTTGAAATCGACTCAACGGCAACAGGTTTGGTTTTTTTTTAAATAACAAATTTTAAACAAGGTAATTTCTGTCCAAATTTAAAAATTCTCAGTAAGTACAAATAAAACTTATAAATTTACTTTATGCCTGTTTTAAGCACTGTAGCAACAAACACAAAAGATAAAAATCCCTGTCTTGAGGGAATTTACACTTCAGTAGGGAAGACAGACCCTGAACAAACAAACCACCTCCAATAAACAAGAAGTTAATTGTGTTTATATTTAAAACCCATTGCCATCAAGTCGATTCTGACTCATTGCAATCCTAGAGAACACAGTAGAACTGCCCCATACGGTTTCCAAGAAGTGGCTGGTAGATTCAAACTGCCAACATCTGGTTAGCAGCCAAGCTCTTAACCACTGACAAAAGCTATGGAGAAGAACAAAGCAGTGAAGGAGAGAAAAGAGAGAGCAGGAAAAAAATTAAGAAGGGAGTTACAATTTTAAATAAGGTGATCCACAAAGGTCTCAATAAAAAGAAAGGCCTCAAAAACAAACCAACAACCTTCTATGTGTGTAAGCATATGCCATTGTTTTTCACATTAAATAATTTAAAAAATTTTTAACAATATCACAATCAGCAAAATATGCCCATAGGCCTTTCATATGACATGTAGTAAGCAACTATAATTATAGATTCCATAAAAATTCAAGGAATTCTATCTACTATGGAAGAATTTGGGAATTGGTATCCCAAAAGGACTTAAGGAGAAAGTTCTAAAACAGGAACTCAGAGGGTGGCCTTAAAAAAAAAAAAAAGAAAAAAAGCTCTTTAAGGGCAAGGTTCAGGAAGACATGAAGAAAATTAAGTGCCATTAAAACTGCTGAAAATTGTTGCATTTTTAGAGCTCCTGACTAAGTAAAAAGCAAAACAATCGGAATACTGAAGTAGACATTTGTTTTCAAAAAACGAAGCAAATTTTTGAGACTAGAAAATGTACTAAAGATTAGAAAATTATGTATGTGATAGCCATTTTTAAAAAGAGCTAAAGGGAAAAAATCTTAGGAATTTAAGAAACTAGAAGTTAGGAAGACTAAATACAAACACTGTACCAGAACATGCTATATAAATGTAAGCCAGATCCTAACTTGAATGCTCCTAAGTAGTAAGTAACACAAAGAATTTCTATATCTATGCTACCTTTATCTGATAATTTCAGCTGATCAATATATCTTCTTAGTTCATAAAAAAATAAAGCACTTAATGAGTTTATGAAAAATAAAACTCTGATGTCCTGCTAAAGTTACAATTTCGTCAAAATGTGTGTCTCATTCTCTCAATCTTTATTACCATTTTTTCACTAGTTGATGTCTTCTGGAAGGGGCACATGAGGACTTCATATATATGTATTTTCTGGAAAGGGCAAAAGGACCTCACGAAAATGACCGTGACACACTAATATTCCTAATCACTAGAATCACACTAGCCACATGAAAAGCAAGTTTTCTCAAAGTAGTGATCTTATATTTCAACTCGGTTCATCTTGACCTTGAATAATATGACTGAAATAAACAAATACTACTATTCTCCATTAAAAGAAGAAAAATGAGAGATGACTTAACAGAGAAGTTAAAGTAGTATGATTAAGTCTCAATGTGTGCTGAAACCGGGATTAAACTCACAGTCTCATGAGTCCTACTCCACCACATGGGTTACTGAGCAATCTTCCCTTCTGCACTCACACAACTTCCACAACCAATCATCAGCTATCTCAAGAGATAAAGGACTATAGGACACTACCTATACGTCTCATATTTGATATGGTCCTTTATGAGAGGGAAACTGAAGGTAATACATATGTCTTT